TTGTACGGGTTCGGCATCCGCATGGCACAACAGCCCGGTACTGGATTTCGGGTTTGGTCAGGTTCAGTGGCATCGCGGTGTTTCGTTTCAGGTTCGACGCCCTCACGGCAGTTTATTTCGGAACCTCTGCGGTGATTTATTTTCAGGTCCGGGATCATTGCGACGGTTTACTTCAGGTTCGGTACTATTACCGCGCCGCTGCATCTTGCCGTGTTCGACATATTTCAGGTACTCTATTGGTTCGGCATTGGCGTGGTACACGCCACAACATCATTTTCAGACTTGGTACTGGGTCGGTATTGACACGGCGAGAGGCATGGGAACCCCGGATGATTATATCAGGTTCGGCTTCGGTATGGTAAGAATTACAGCGAGCCTGACTGAGTGATCCGGGTTTGACATTGACAGGTACGGATTGCTGAGATATAACGTCGAGACAAGTTCTAGTTGGCTAGTTCAAGGTTCGGAATTGGTATGGTGATGCCGCAACTTGTTCCATGGGATACCGCAACGGGGTACCACTATTTTCGTGTGTGTACTAGCCTGGGACACTTACGCGCGCTGATCCAGCGATCGGTCGGAGATTGCCACATTTGCTCCGGTTCTATGGGACTTGGTACCGTCAAACTGCCAGTATACGGGTAGTGTGGCCCGCGGCAGATAGAAGTGTTAACCTTTATACATATGCAGACTAAGGGGGGGTTGACTGCAGAGCTGTTTTTTTTTTTTTTTGTGGGATTGGGCTCAGCTTGCCTGGCTGAAGGGACTACTTCTGCTACCCGAAGATTACTGGTACTGCAGGGTCTGAAGGGCCACGCGGTTTCGCAAGGTACCGTGCGGAAACTGGCAGTACAGGTGGATCCGCATGAGGGCCCCTGCCCCGACGTCGTGGCCACTACGGGCCTAAGTGCTTAGTCGCTCAGATATCACTGACCCGCTAAAGCCCGTGGCAAGGAGGGGGGTGTAGGGGACTATCTCGGCTCGGAACCATTGCGAAACTCGTCGAAGCTGTCTACGCCAGTGGGCTGAAGCTGGTGCCTGGGTACGGTGGACGCTGAGCCTGTGAGACCGGTACCACTTTTTTCTTTTTCCTCCGTGGCGCGGCAGACTACTTCCTGCACACTTGCACTCCGAGAAGGCCCTGGTCGGTCAGACCATGAGACTGAAGGGGATATAGGGGAGAACAGTGAAGGGAATGGGATTGCATGCCAGGTGTGCCCGACGTCAAGCAGTTGCAGAGTGGGAGACGAGCTCGAGGCGGAGACATCGGCGCCCAGGCGGTTACGCCGAAAGAGAGGGGAGAGCCGGATGCGAACAAGGCGTACCCGCAAGTGCAAGCACGGGGGAGACGCGTCGGCGCTCAGGCGGTTACTCGCGTGTGAGAGGGAGAGGGAGAGAGAAGGGGGACGTGCAGTCTGGAAACGGGAGCGCGGGTTCTCAGGGAGTGATCAGGGAGAATCAAGCAGGCGCTCGAAGGGGTCAGGGCGCTTCAGGGAGAGCATGCCAGGTGTCCATTATCCCTGTCAGGTCAGTTGACTTCTGAACGGGATTGCCGAGAAAGATGATGGGGACGAGTCAGATGTATGGAGAGGCTGGGTCGAATGTGCAAGGGCGTGCGTAGCGGCCTCCGGTGTTGACTGGAGATCGCAACTGCATACGTGCGTGAGAGAGAGATAAGAGAGAACAATTCGCTCTATTGTTCTTTTTTTCTGTTTTTTTTTGGATAGTGCGCGCACGCATCTGGATCTGTCCGTGTCCAAGTGCATTTGAATTCGAGCCAGTGTACTAGCTTGCTGGTCGGGTAGCATCTGTATCAACTGACGAGAGAGTGAGGAATAGTCCACGAGCGGGAATGAGAACGAAAGAGGAGAACGTGACTGTTGGAGTGAATGGGAGAGAGTCAATTAGAGAGAGTCGAGGTGAGGGACTGTGCAGAGTGAGTGTGTGAGAGAGAGTCCTTTTGTTCGTTTTTATTATTGTTATTATTATTTATTTATTTATTTATTTTATTGCACTCACCTGGCTCCTACCATATCAGATTTGTTGAACGGGAGAGCGCGTGGGTGAGAGTAGAGGGAGTGGACTTGAGAATTTGAAGGGTGGTATGGAGAGAACTGAGGGCTGATCTGCCCGTTGTTCCTACTACTTGAGCACATTCTGAATATTGGGCACTAATCTGCCCGCTAGAGCTATCCGCATACATGGGGGAAATCAAGCAGTGATCAGCCATTCCATCATCCGGTTCACATGGAGAGAACTGAGGGCTGATTTGCCCGCTGTCACTACTACTTGACCACATTCTGGATATTGGGCATTAATCAGCCTGCTAAAGCTGTCCAGATACATGGAAAATATATATATATATGTATATATTGTCAAATAGAACTGCCCGGTAAACCGTAGGCAGAGAGGGACAAGAGGACAACAAACGAGGGGCTGTGACAAACT